TCACAGGTGTTTCCATGCCCATCAGCATTTAGCTATGAAGATGGATGGCACTGTCAGTCAGATAATAGATTTGGTTTGTGCTTTTGGGGTTTTTAAATTATTGTTCTTGTGCTTAGCTACTGAAGAAAAAAAAAAATCCTCATTTACCATTCAGCAATAGATTATTTTCTCATGCTATTTGTAGCAATCTTTATAATATGCAATGCAAAAAATATCTTGGGAATTTCAACTGCTATACTGAATAAATGTTGATACTTTCTAAATGTTGGTAGCTTTACAGAAACTAAAAAGCCTATGAGAAAGTATTTCTCTTTTTGACTAAAACCAAAGAGTTTGTTCATGAGATTTTATATTTTTTCACTACATAAAACAGGACTTGTTTGTAGAAAATAGTGTCTCCTTGCTGGCTAAGGCATACAGGAGAAGGTTAATATACCAAATTTACCCATTTATACATCAGGTATTTAGAAGTAGCAGTAGATAAGAAGACAGGCTAAGGAAGTTGTGACTGTTCAGCCTGGAGAAGAGAAGCTGCATGGAGACCTCAGAGCAGCCTTCCAATATCTGAACAATGCCAGAGAGGGACTCTTCGTCAGGGACTGCAGTGGTAGGACAAAAGGTAATGGGTTTAAACTTAAACAGGGGAAGTTCAGGTTAGATATAAGGAAGAAGTTCTTACCTGTGAAGGTGGTGAGGCACTGGAATGGGTTGCTGATGGAAGTGGTGAATGCTCCATCCCTGGCAGTGTTCAAGGCCTGGTTGTACAGAGCTTTGAGCAACATGCTCTAGGGTGAGGCATCCCTGCCCATGGCAGGGGGGTTGGAACTAGATGGTCTTAAGGTCCTTTCCAACCCAAACCAGTATATGATTCTATGAAGGTTAACAAATTAATTATTATGTTAAAATGTTAATAACAATTTAAATTACTTTTTTAAAATAACAATTTTAATTATGTTAAAATGTACCATACAGAGTACAGATATGCATATGAGTATGTATGTGTGTGTACTGCTCAGCTGAACATCTGTGCTTTGGTAACAGGACAAAACCTTACAGTGGCTTTTCTTCCGTGGAGTCGTGCTTGCAACAGTATCCTCACTCTTGTTTCCAGTCTTATAACAATGGTACTGAGTTAATCTGACACAAATACATCCATGATTTGTCTTTCCACCTCGTAAACCTCTTTGTTAATTAGGAAAAGCCACAGCAGTACTCAATAACACACACACAGCCATATCCATTTGCACCAAGTCTGACTCCCTTCAAAATTCTGACTCCTTGGCTTGGTATTTCCAATTAAAATTACAATAGAGAGGCAAAACAGTTCTTCACTTTGAAAGAGGAGATGCCACAGTCAGAAAGCCATGGCATTTTGAATTTTGATCCTGCCACCCTAAGGAAGTGAGCCTTCTTGAGACTTCAGCTGCAAAGGAAATAGCTAATAGGAGTGCACAGGGGCCTCAACCCAAGGTGTCTGTGCAACATGTACATAATTCCACTAAAATTAAGTTGCACAAGGAGACTAAGGAGTGATGCAATTCCAAAGTACTAGTGTTCTCTGTATTGCAGGTGTAATAGAAAGGCTCACACAACTCTGCAAGCCTCTTCACCTTGGTGGGAGACCTGGCACATGTCAAGGGCTGTCATTGCTTCTGCCAGTGTCAGCACCAGGGGAAAAAAGCAATCTGCATACCTTTGGAGTAGATTAACCTTGCTTTAGCTCCATCAAACTCAGTGGACCCACGGAAAGGATTAATCCAGCCCTCTGTGTACTCTCAGGTACCCACCCTTCAGCTGTTAACAGTGGTAGGAAAGAAAACTCAGTTCAAAACTTCAAGCCTGACTGAACTTGGCAAGTTTAAGGTACAAGCGTGGAAACCAATCAGACTGTTCCACTCAAACTGTTCCCAGAGAAGCCTACATTTTATCCAAAAGCTTGAACACGAAAGATTTTCCATTTCAAAAATCTGTCTGTGCTCAATCTCCAAACTTCCTAAGATTGTATCACATAGCCCTTAGTGATCCTGAATGTCCAAATGACATGGCAATGTCATGGGCAGAATAAGCAAGCTGGCTGCATGGCTCTGCCACCAGACTACAGCAAAAAGGCGTATTTCTTAAAGTTTCTCAAAAAACACCCTAAATTGTTTTTTTTTTCTTTAAGAGGAGGGTCAGGAAGGGGTGGACAAGCTGGCATTCTGTTATTCGTTTTGCCCTCTTCATCTCTTGGAAGGATTGGGTTTGGATCCAGGCAAGATTCATAGCCAGCCTGAGCTATGAGGAATTCTGCCGTCAGCACCACTAACAGTTTTCAGAGTGCACTTGTAATTGCAATGAAAACTCCTATTCACACCTTTTGGAAATATTGGTTTAGGCTGTTCAGCTGTGGGTGAGTGAAACAAGTATGAATTAACGCACATTCCCCACTGATCCTCAGCTTGTTACAGACACGAATAAACTTCTGCTCTAGGAAATGGAAATTCCAGAATCTCTACACAAATCTGTATATTCGTGAAATAAATCTGTCCCTCAGTATGTTGCTTAGTCTTCAGCCACTCTCAAACAGGGTTTTACAAGACATGGGAGAAAGAAAAAGGAGAGGAGCAGCAGAATTCAGCTCCTGCCAGACACTATGAATACACTATGGAGAAACTGAAAGACCTGGTAAAGCTTAATTTCACAAGGTACAAAAGGAGCACCCAGATCACTGTAGATATAAAAATCATAGAATCACACAATGGTCTGGGTTGGAAGCAACCTCAAATATCATCCATTTCTACCCCCCCTGCCATACAGTTTTCACTTAATTAACAACAGCCCAAAAGCCCTCAGTGGGAACTGCTCCCAAAAAGGAACCAGCAGAAGCATGCTCCACATGGAGCTACTCTTGCTGACAAAGCCTGCCAGTTGCAGTCCATAGGGTTTGGGAAGCCTTAAACATCTTCACAGTGTGGGTCACAACTCCCAAGCCAAACGCAAAACAAGACCATCTAACCATCTAGGTGATCTAGCCTTATAGACCACCTAACCTAGTCATTATGGTGACTCACACAACTGTTTATGTGGAAAGGTATTAGAAAGCCATGGCGGCATACCGGGTGGTTTAAGGCATTACACTGGGAAAAAGAAGAGCCACGAAGGCATCCCAACTGCTTCTAGTCCCTTCAGTGTTACCCTGCCACGGCTGCAATGATGGCAGGACCCAGCTCTGTCCACACCTCACAGCACACAGCTGAAGATGCAAATATCTGCCAGTTTCCTAATGCTGCCACTAGCAAATGACCATAAACTTTTTTTATATACTACTTTATTTAAGAAATTGTGTAAGTCTGATTCTAATTTATGGTAGTAGAGAAGATGGTGCTTGCTTTCTTAAAATAAAATTATCACTTATGGAAACAAAGCTTCTGTGGCAAAAGATCACTATTTTTTATTGACAATAAACAAGGACTGTCTTTTCAGTCCAAGCAAGGTGTTGAGAAGTCACCAATCAAATGTTATTCATTTCAGTAAAGAAAGGACTGTATAAAATTCACTTCAAATTATGAAAATTTTCTTCAGCACATAGTATGAGGAAAACAAAACATTTTTCTTTCTTTATGTAAGAGCTTGGAAAACTTCACACTCCCAAATTATCCCACTTATTATTTGGTAATTAAATCACTGTAAATTACTATATCTTAACCTCTGGTCTCTCAAATATAAGGAGAGAACCCCAAAGCTAAGCAGCAGTGTAGGGCACTGGTGGTGCTGAGTACTTGGGGCCATCCCCCAGCACCTGGCCTTCTCAGCCCTGCTGGAAGGTGCAGAAGGTAGTGAAGCTCAGTGCAGGAGGAAGGGAAGCTCAGTGCAGGAAAACTATTCAGGCCTTGCCTGCCTCCAAAAGACAGCAGAAAGACGCTGGGTTAAGCACAAATTATCAAAGGAAACACACCCCCAGCTTCCTCAACACAATGGTCTTTCCTCACAAGGACACAGTGAGAGCCTGACATACTGTTTTAGGTACTTATATATCCCACGCATTTGGGTGGTTAAAGTTCATTTGGAAATCACAGTTCCTGCAGACTGCAGCCATATGTTTATGTACCAGAGTAAACAATCTCTTCACTTGAGTCCTTGGCTACTGCTGATGATGACTGATTTCAGAGACATGTTGTATCCGTTTCCCAGGATGACAGCCCCAGGTAAAGCAAAAGCTGAGACTATCAAGCCAAGATTACTTGCTCTACTGCCCTACTCCTGCTGACACTGCAGTGTGATATTCCCACAGTAAGATTTGAGGAATGCATGAAAAAAAGCCACAGTTATAAAATATCCCATCAGATTAAACTGTAAAACATCCAACAGGATGCAGACATAAATGCAAGGCATACCCACTTAACTCAAAGACAGTAGAGAGCTTAACCACTTTTGAGATAACTAAGCCATCTCAGCAATACCAGTTGGGTTAGTTCCACAGAGGATGACCAAGTAACTTAAGAAAGCGGTACCCACCAAATACTTCAGCTATCAACTAATTCATAACAAAAATTTAACACAATCCTCAGACATTCAAATCCATGTACAATTCAAATGGGATGCTAAACCAATTCATAACTGAGAGGGATCCAGTTACACTGTCAGCATTTATAATCCCAGTTTTGCTGCCATTTATTGTTATAGTTTTATATTAAATATTTTTAAAGAAAAGTAGTTCAAGGCTAGTAAACACCAAACCAGTGCTGGACTTCCAATGATACTTCTTTCACTGTTTGGAGTCCCTAAGATTAGGTGTAGTTGCTGGAGCTCCTCTCCCTGTTTTGCAAATGAGTTATTCTTCTGGGGCTGTCTTCCCACGTATTCCAGGATACCAGTCATACCTTCTGACTCTTGCATGATCTGGAATTTCCACCTACTCATGAGGCTGTGGTGCTTGTATCAGCTTTTTTTCTTGTCTGCATGCTCCTCAAGATTAGAATTCATTCATTAAGAATAAAGTCAGGAGGTTTGCAAAAAAAAAACACAGGCCAGAAGCCTTTATTGGCTGAAATTTCCCTGCTTCTTTCCTCAGCAAGAAAATAATCACGACAACAAGAAAAAAAAAAAAACAACCCCCAAAAAGAAACAAAATATTGTTTCTGTTGCAAATATTATTCTTGTCTCTTGTTTTCGGGCTCTTATTTTGCAGAGTTTAAAAAATGGCAACATTTCCTCTTCCTTTACTTTTCCCCCCCCTCAGAGTGCAGCATCAGTCATTAGTTTCTTCTTAATTTCTGAAGAAAAAAAGAGGCAGATGCATAAGAAAATGTGATTTCACATGACACAGAATATCTTAAATTTGAACAAATTTTTATATTTCAAAGTTAGACAAACAAAGACTATTTAAGGCATATGACACCTTTCAATTAGTCCAGAGTAAGGTAATTCTGTTTCCAAAATAAAAGTCTGCAAATGGCAATCCAAACACAAAGTTTTCATTTTCCTTTCCCTTTCCTCTTCTTACTTAGAAGTTCTACCTTGTCTATGCCTATGGAAATCTTAGAAATAACTGGTCCTGTATAATCATTCAGCTCACAACAGATAATATCTGACAGAGGACAAAACTTTGCTATCTATATAGGTTGGACAGAGCCTTGGGTGACATGGTCTAGTGTGAAACATCCCTGCCCATGGCAGGGGGGTTGGAACTAGATGATCTTAAGGTCTTTTCCAACCCAAACCATTCTGTGAGTCTATCAGTCTATATTACTGACCTATAAGTCCGATTCTAAAAGCAGATAAATCTAAGAACTAGGTATAGGATAATAGGATCTGTCTTGGACAGCAACCCAAGAAAAAGTTCCATTCTCATTCATGCCATAGTTTCAATCCTATATTCAGAGGAGCTACTGCTGTCTTAGAACTCTTTCTTTATCCCCTCCTTCTCAAAAAAAATCAGCTGGCCTTTTAATTACCAACAATAGCCTCTTCTTTCTTGCTGCTACTCTCTACTTCCTCTCTTTCAGGAAGAGATGTCATCTCTGGCTCTTGTTGGTGATTCTGATAGGAACTCTGGTCTGGTGGTGTCCCTCCCTTTTGTTTTTCAGCATGTGGCATGGATCCCAGTGTTGTTCCATTGGGCACTTGAAAACGGGGGGAGGAGGGTAGGCAAGGTGCCTGAGCATAGGAAGTCTGCTCAGTGAAGTACTTTCCTCCTACTGTGCTAGAAAATGGCACTCGTGAGCACAGCTGATTTGAGAAGGGAGCTCCCTGCATGTAGAAATCATTCCAGGGGACAGCTGGATAGGCAGGAATGCCTGCTGAGGAAAAAGCAACAAAGTACAGAGTAATGAAAATAAGGAAAGGAGGACTAAAATCACATATATAAAAATATATATGTATGTTGGGCTTAAGAGAGCACATTCAATGCAAATACGGTTTTGCAGACATCACACACATGAAGGTAAACTTTGTTGTATACAGTGTATTTATCCAAAACATGGTTATTAGAAGGAAAAACTTTGGAAGTTCATAGTGTTGTTATAATCTAAAAAAAAAAAAAAAAAGGCAAAAAAAACCCACAACCATGTCACTTCAGCATATATCCTGAGTGCATGTAATAATATTAGAGACACACACCCCAACTGTCTTTCCTCCACTCCTATCTTCCAAGTAAGCTCTGCAAAGCATAAGCTGGATGCTTAATCTTCACTTTCATATATAAAAGCTGCCATCCAGGAAGCAGGAATGTTTTTTAATGAATATGTATAATCCATCTGAACTGCTCACTTGCTTACATGCTGAGGAAAAATTAGGAGTGTGCCTATATTTACAGATTGGTTCCCTCCCCATTTAACTTCTGGAACCCCAGGCCCTGGTTGTCAACACTGCATAACAATCAGAGGATTCCTTCCTTGAACAGAAGAGCCAGGCACTGCTAATTGTGCTCTGGACCTAAGTATAGCATAAGGGAACATCATCTCTGCCTCTGTTCAACAATCCCCCAACTTTAGCAGTCCTAACAAGGTTTGCACCTTTACATATCCCTTTATGCTCACAAGACATGCCTTAAGGCATGCAAGGCACTTCTGGCATCACTCTATACAAACATAACACCATGCAATGGAACACAGCCCACCCCATTACTTCTGGCACTTCAAACTGAAACACCACAGAAAATAATAATTATCCCTTACAAGCAGAAAGGAGAATCCTTTCTGTGCTAGATAGCATGGGTGCTGCCAACCTGTTCTGCAGAGTGGTAGACATGAACAGTGTGAACATGAGCCAGCTTGTACCACCAGCCTGTGCGTCAGACTTCTCTCCCCAACAAGGTCCACAAAACAGTGGAAAAACAGGAGCAGCTCTGTGGTCTGAAAACTCTTTGCTCTTTTATAAGATAAGAGAGATATTTTTTTGGACCGTAAGCTTAATTTAACAAAGCTGACAGTCCAGACAATAAACTGCAATAGTTCACCTTTTGGTTGTATCTCGAACAACTTCAAAAATACAAATCCCTGACATAAAACAAGGAGACTGACAATGCCATTTTTACCTAGTTGCTTTTTTACTAAATTTCCTGAAATGCTTTCATCTAAGTGGTACTGCAAATTCATATCAGAAGAAGAAAAAGAAAGAAGCTCTATCTATACTATTATCCCATCTAACTCTCTCCTTTTGCACTACCTTTACATACACAACATTCTTTCAAAATGGTGTCTGCAGAAGCCCAGCAGTTGGAAGCATGCTTTTTTTTTTTCTGTCTACACCTATTCCATTTGCTGTGGCACATTTCTCACTTTGCACCCTTGACCCCCACCCACATACACTGAAGACATGTCAGTCTGCACAACAGTACACTCCTGAAAAATAAAAGTTAGATTTCCATTACAGACAGAACTATTGCAATACCCGAGATACTCACATAGTAACGCTCTCTCTGACATGCAGCCTGTGTAGTAACTTTTGAATCAAATTAATGGGTCACTCAGCGCTTTTAAAAAATAACATAGTAGAAAATACGTAAAAGGCAGCATATATATCTATATAGATATATTTGTGCATGTATATGCACATTCCTCCTTTCTGTCACAGTCATCAGTAAAACCTCTGGTCATCCTGACTGTTTCAGTGCACTGTTTAGTTACTCCAGAGGAGCAGGATGCCAAAAGATTTCAGAATTTACCTGAGTTTTCACTTGGTTGCTGTAACAAGAGTTGTTCCCCCACGTGGCTTTGTACGTATGTTTGTGCGGTTCCCGGTGCCCCATGGGTTACAACTCCACTGTTACCAGGTAAGGGGAGGAAAGCTGTATGGGACTCAGTGGGTGTAGGACTGAGGTGGACACTGGTGAGCACATTGCTGGTCAGGTGAGCTGGCAGTTGGTGGAACTGGGAGAGCTGGTGCTGCTGGGGATATTGGGGCAGCTGGTAAATTCCATCCTGGCTGCCGTACGAACAGTATGTGTCCTCTAGGTTGCCTGCTGACTCCAGCTCCTCAGGGTAATTGAAGGGAACTGGTGAATTCAAGCTGCAAAGAGCAAGGAGAGAAGCAATTCAGAGATTCAAGTAGGGTCAACAGTTACAGCAACCTGTAAACAACTGCATCTTCCCCCTGACAGCTGATATGACTCCAGCCCTTCCTCTCAAATGCCAGGCGGGAGAAGGGCAACAGAAACCACTTGAGCCAAGGCTTTCACAGCAAGATTCTTTAACAGTTGCGTTAGTGGGGATTACCTTTCCTGCAGTTCTTCCCACTTTCCAAAGCACACCCTAATGCTTAAAACATCTGCACTCAAGAATTCCTTTTCACTGTGCTTCTGAACCATACTTTCACTTGACAGGCATGCAGTTCTGAAAACACTGTTACTAAAGGCATCACTTTATCAACAGCTGGTGACCTGTCCTACCACACAGATTATACATATTTTTCATATTCCATTTAAAGGACATTTTTATTCCCATGTCTGACTTTAAACTTGCGCTATTTCCTTGTCCCAAGTCCCACCTTCACCCTCCCAAAGTTTCTCCCAGGGTTCACTTTTTTAATCTCGTTTGTTCCTACCCTTGATTCTGGATGCTGTACGTGAAGGCCTCTCTCAAGCCATTTTGCTGACAGGAAAAGTAGCATTCACTGTTGGGAGTGTCCAGCATCAAAGGAACAACGTGGTTGTGCAAGCTGACAGCCAAACTGAGGGGCAGGCTGGCCCTGCGGATGGGTGGAGGGCTGGGAAGACTAGGGAAGCACTCCATTCTGCTGAAACTGAAGTTGAGCTGTGGCAATGCCTTTGTCTGAACTGCTTCACAGGATGTCACCATTCCTACCACTGATGATACTGTAAATAAAAAGAGGGACTGTCATGCTATGCTGTCATTCTGAAAATTAAAAGGAGCAAGCAGAGGGAATGACAAAAGTGGCAGAACAGAAAAACAAGATGCCAGTGAAAGAGTGGAGGTTAACTGATGGGAATAAAAGTAAACAAGCACCAGCATTGCTGCTGGGAAGCAAAAGGGAGTAGTAGCAAGCTCTCTGGAACAGAGGATGATGTTTATTGGTTAAATAAAATTACCTTCATGATTTCAGTCTCTCCATACTAGATTTATTCTGCTCTCAAGGCAGCCAAATGAAGCAGAGTACTTCCTGGAAAAAAGCCAGGAACAATCCCCCAGCCATCTTCCATCTCTGCTGTCCTCTGGGAAGAGTGTGCTGCACAGATTACTCTTTTGAAAAATGTAACTGTGGTTTGAAAGAAACAAAAATGTGCCTGTAGAGATCCACTGTCTGAGCCATCTTTTAACCAAATTTTCATTCCTGGTTTGGCCTCTGATGAGTCATGCCAAAAAAAATAGTTAGGAAAAAAATAAAAAAGCAGATACATCAGCTGAAGGGCCTTGGGAAAAAGAAGCTGGGAGGTGGAAAAGGAAACCAACACCATTTGGTTGCTAGAACGTTGTTTGGTAACCCGTCTCCTCGGTCACTGCTGGAAAAGGAGGGAGGAACAGAACAGCCTCTGCGGAAAGAGGACAATATAGGAAATGAAAAGGTCAAAATCATGTATACTGGTGATCCAGAGTAACATATATACACGGAAGTTCAAGAAGCGTGCACATGGTGAACAAGATTCTGTTTTATTGTGCCAAATGGCAAGTGATTTCCTTCTTGAGAAGTGTTAATGATCAAGTGTGCATGACACAACTTGAAATGATTTTTCAAGTCCGTGGCAGGGGTGTTGGAACTAGATGATCTTTAAGGTCCCTTCAATCTAAACCGTTCTGTGATTCTGTGAAGTCTAGCTAGGCTGAACCAGCACAAAGATGAGGTAGGTATGTATGAGAAAGTATCACTGACTGTTCAGGTAAAGTTGGTCTACTCCCACACACTAAAGTATTCAGGGAAAGCTAGTAGCATGGGTAGCTTATAGCTGTACTTCACCCTTGCAAACATAGAGAGTAACATCAAATACAATCCACCAGATGTGAATCAAAGGCCTTAAACATAAAGCCTAAAGACAAAACCTAAACATAAAGCTGCCACAGCAAGCAGAGCAACTTTTAGAGAATTTTGGAATGCATGCCCAGAGAACTGACAAGGAGATGCCACGTTAACATCTTACAGCATCAGTTCTCAGATTTGCCAGTGTGCTGTGCAACTGTGTCTATCTTGTTGCACCTTCACATATCAATTTTTTTTCAGCTCTCTGCAACTGTGGAGAGAGGGAGTTTTCATTTCAATGAAAACATGAATAGGTTCACTTAGAAAACTAGAGCACGATCTGGGGTGGCATCCCTAAAGCATTCACATGCCCAGACATGGTTTACATTTTTTTATTTGAACATATGACTTCTTTATGTCAGGCAGCATTTACAATGTACCTGTCACATTCCTGGGTTTTGACACAGCATAAATCTACTCCCCACACAAACAAAGCACTTGTCAACATTTTATTTCCTCAAAAGTCAAAATGGCTTAGCCAGAAATGAAGCTGAAGATCTCTTCTGATTTTTTTTTTTTTTTAAACCTCCATTTGCATTGGTTCTCCTAACTATTTTGTCACAGAATGTAGGAGTTCACACAAACATTATGAAATAGAAGCCATGTGAGGGACAACTTACCAGAAAAAGACTATATCCAGACAAAACTTCAATAATGACAGTGTTATTAGCTATTCTGCACAAGGCCTTGGTCTTGCTCAGGATGAATACAAGCAGTATTAACACCAGAGATAAGGAAGTTGCTTCTAAACCCACTTTCACACCTAGTAAGAATTAAGTTCTGGGTTTGAAACATTTTCAACAACACAGATAATCTTTGTGGATCACGGCACTAGGACACAGGCAAAAAGATGGTGAAGATGGCACACTTGGCCTCCAAAGAGCTGGTTCAGCCTTTTCTAAAGCTGCTCCTACTTCTCTGCCCTTTCAAAGACAGACACAGAATTTCTGTGTCTGAATAAAGTCTTCTGAATAAAGTCACAAATGCAGTAGGAATAAATAATTGCCAGAGAAGTAATATCTGCTAAATCTGACACTATATTTACAGATCTTGTTTAGTGATGAATTCTGATCACTGGCGTGAGATAATACTTACATTTTACAAATCTGTTACTCTTCCTGACATTGATACAATAACCACAGAGGCTTTCCAGTGAACATGAGAATGTAACAGCAGGATCTTTGTTTATCTCTTCCATTATTTCTGGATTTTCAGCCCATAAGATAACCTTGGGAATTTCCTGAGAGCAACATAGTAATTTGCAGCTTCAAATCTCTGAACCAGTCCTGGTGCTACACTTGTCTTAACATAAGAATTGGTACTTGAAGTCTTTGGCTACACAGACATCTTCCCCCTATATAGCTGCTTCCTCAATATCCTGGCAGTTAGAAGACCCATTAAAGAAATGCACATAGCTTCTAATGAATTGGACAGAGCCTTAAATTAACAAAACTGGATGTGTATATATTTCTGTCAGGATGAATGTGATTTAAGTCTTTCACCAGTCTTGAAGGAGACTTAAGGCCTATTCTAGAAAGGTGCCCATGAACTTCCAACAGGGAATGGTTTCAGCTGTGAGAAGGCTCCTTTCACTGTTATTAACAGACCAGATTATGTGCACAACAGTTGTTGCCTGAGTGACACCTCCCTGCCCTTGAGGCCTTCCTCTTGACATCAGCCATACATGACTTTCTTAGTGAAGCACTTATGCTGACTCCAAAAGGCTTTGGCATGAGAAACCTGCAATGATTCTGGCAGTTAACTATGCAAATTGAGAGGCCAGAGACCATGACTGTAACTGTTTAAGAAGCCCAGTACTGGGCACTATGCAGCTGACATTGATTAAAGGCTGAACAACATAACTAACCTCAGATAGTCTACTTGCTATGGCTGCTCTGTCAAGCACCAAATCAAGAGTACAGCAAAAGGCTCTATTACTAAGAGTCTCTACATCACACACAATCAAATCCAGTTTCTTTTAGTGAAACCATTTACAGGAACATTAAGGGCCATCACAAAGCTTTTCATCAATACATCCTCTTCTTGAAAACACAAGAAAATACATTTCTCTGTAAATGACATTTTGAAAGTAAACAAAATATTAATCAAACAGAAGCAAGAGTGTTCTTAATTTAATGGACTGAAGATCAGTAAATCAGCTTCAGGCTCTAACTGCATTGCTTTGAGAAGCATGTTACTCTGATCCTCTTCTGGAACCTACCACTTGTTTGAAAGGTATGACTCTTTCTTGCCATGGCTGCTACACATCATCAGCTTTAAAGTAACTTGTTCAAAAGCCAGAATCCTCTAAGTGAAACCATTACAGCATGTCATTTATTTACCATTCTTTGACAGACGATATCCAACTTTATCCAACTGCTCCCAAGATGTAGATTACAATCCCATCTCTGCCACTGAAAATCATCTTGCTATTTGCATCAGAGCTACCAGCACAGGCTGGGCTCCTGATATTATTCCTGGGCCCTTGAGATAGCCATATGAAACAAAGTAGTTCCTACAAAAGCATCTGCGGGGCAGAAAAGTCTCCTCCCACAGACCATGGGCATAGAAAGTATTTTTAATTTCTAAAGTTAACTCTAAAGAAACATAAGCCAATGTTTTAAGTCAATGACTCTCTCTCTCACACACACACACACACACACACACATTTATATATCCATAAGAAATCTCAGAAAAATAAGAAAAATTTCAAATAACTGCCAATGTCAAAAACCCTACATTAATTTAAAGCAACCTATCTGTCTAGCAAAAGCAGCAAAAAAAAAAAAAAATAAAATCCAAAGATCAGAATAAGGTCAAGATGGAATTTTTGAAGCAGAAAAGGCTCTTAGGGCAAGTAGTGGGTCTAATACCAAAACCAGAAGCCATAACTGCCAGCAAGGTAAAATACATATCAAATACATTTTTAATCAGCTTGTTTGGAGAGCTGTACGAAACAGTGGGACATAAAAGAGACCCCACATCAGACAGTCAGAATTACTGTCTAGAGCAAGGGAAAACAATGGAAAAGGCAGGACTGAACACTCTCCAAAAGTGTCAGGTAACAAATCATACTGTTCTCATGCATGTAAGTCATTTCCTTGTCCTGCTGAAAGTGGTTAAACACATGGCTACCAAGGAAAGAACCTGAATAGCCATTCCATTAGGCCACAGTCTCCAGATATAACTGCACCATTATGCACAGGTCACAAATTATTTTGCTGAAACCCACCATTAGCTGTTTCCACAAGGTTCACTTCTACCAAGCAATTGGTTTTTGCCTTCTAAGTTGATGACTTAATTCATTTGTTCCCTCTTTTGTTTTGCCTCTGTTACTTTAGATTTTATCCTATCAAGTTTTATTTCCTTCTTTTTCCGAGATCTTCTAATACAGAAAGAAGGTGGACCCTAGATGGCTGTATTTATTGTCAAGCCTTTTTTGAACAAGGAGGCTGAATGAATTAAGAAGTCGGATTGTCTTTCTTTCCATTTCAGTTTCAGCTTTCATTCTTAAAGAGAAAAGTCTGCCTGTGCAATGCTAGATAACAAAAAAAGCAAGTTTCACTCCCCATGGCTGTGTTATTATGTTTCTAGTAAGGCAAAATTGCATCTGAAGCTTTTCAAGCAACTGTACCATGCAGATTTCTCTTCCATGAGGAGTCTCTACACCTAGTTAAGAGTCTTTTTTCCTCAGAGGGAGCACTAACTTAGGTCTCTACACTGCCTGGGCACCAGTTCTTCCATGACTTGTAAGAATGTAATTTTTAAGACTTCCACCTTTTATGTACACATTTGGAGGGCAGGGTGGGTGTCTTATACACACACCACATTCCTCCCTTCCCTCAAGGAAGGAGGTTAAAAACCAATCACCAAACCTCACCATGCAGCAAAGCATGCCTCTTCTCTGAAAAGTGATTTAGAAAAGGTACTCTTTTTTTTGCACCCACATCTGTATCTGGAAAGTATTTACCAGGTTTAGATGGCACAAATAGATTTCATTACTCCTTGCCCAGCATGATTTAAAGAGAACATGGGGAAGCTTGTTCCCTCTTATAAATGTAGCAGAATGAAGCCCATTCTCATCTTCACAGATCCATTACACTGAAGATATAGGGGTTTCAGATGAGCAAAGGAAGCATGTGTTTCATAAACGCTAGATGCATACACAAATGCAATAGATGTCAGCCAGCTGGAAGTTCAAAGGACTCAAGGAGTAAAAAAACCCAGCTATCTTTGTTGCTTATTTTCTCACATACCCAGTCCACTCTCAGAGACGCTCACTTGCCCTTTTTCTTCCTTACACATTGCACAAAGAATTCACAGGACATTTCTTTTGTATCAGAAAGATTGTTGGTGTTTTCCACACAGAGAATTGCATCCCACTGTGCAGATTCCCCAGAAAGAAATTGCTCCATACAGACAGATGACAACATCACATCCCTGAATCTCTTCAGCATATTCTCTCTTGACTAAATAGCATGTTTGCAGATGTACTTTAGGAAGCAGGAAAGTTCTGAATACAAGAGCAGAAAGATGAGGATGTTTGGTTTGTTTCCTTTAAATTAATTACTTTGCAAAATCTTTGTCTTTGTCTAATTAAATACAGGACTCCACAGACTGCACCACTTCATCATTCTGGAAAGCAGTGAATTATTCAAACACTTTGCCCATATTTATTCTGCTATACAAAGAAATGGAGAAACTGGAACTAACTGAATTACAGTCATATTGGTTAAACAGCTCATAAGATAGATTGAAGTAGTCCTTGCCTTGCAACTATGACAGGCAAATTTAAACAAGTCCTAAATGATGGTATCAAGGAAATATCTCAGTTAAGTACTTTTAGCATACATATCTATTTATTGGTATCCTAAGCTTATTGGTACAATCTTATAGTTGATTTCTACTGTGCCGAAATACTTTTAAGGTATCAGCATTATTAAAAATACATTGAAGTCTTTGAGTCATTATTAGAAAATGACGTGGATAGAATTGCCCTTAATACTGGTAACACTGTATATTTAGAATATAATGAGCAGGCAGAAATGATGACATAAAATTCAGAAGAATTAATTACACTGGGAAGCAGGAAAATATGTACAGCAGTACCAGATGTCAGCTCATTTACTGCTTGGGATATCCATCCCTAAGGAAGTGGCGAAGTCCTCATCACTTTGGAAATATTTTCAAGTTGTGCCAACTTGGAAACATAAACATATATAGGAAATGCTCTAGGGAGCATTCCTGACTCTAGGGAATGGTCTGGTACTTCATGCATGAATACACAATTGAACTAATCCTCTCCCTTTGGATGCCATGTATCTTTAAAGTCTAAATACAGCTTACATAGAAAAACGGTCAAATAGCACACCCCACTGACTTTCAACAACACTGCACCAGCAATTAAGCTGTATGCTTAAGCACTCAACTAGTCTCACTCCCTCAAGATCTTGCACAAAAACTGCACTGGCTGGAGAAGTCAAGGAACTTCCTTTGGAGATTTAAACGTATGGAGTACCTGAGGGAGGCTCTACAACCCCAACAGTTAAGATTTTATACAGTGCATGTTCCTCAAACAGCTCACTTGACTACAGATTCAAGGCAGGATGTTATAGCCTAAACCAGAACATGGGATGTGTGTATCTGCCATGAGGGACATAATAACCAGAATAATACTTTCATCATAATTCAGAGAAGCAGTACTAGTGTCAAACAACTTTTATGGAAGAACGCCCCAGCCATGTATGCTTATGAAGTCATATTCAGAATTCCTTAATGGCTTGTGCTAGGACATGAACAAGACTGCAAACTTGGTACATAACTGATACTCAGTTAGCAGAGAGCTGTTAAACCTGATGTCACTTTTTGGACTGATGACATAGGGATCTTAGATGACTGTCCCTAAAGTGTTTGAGAACCTACCAGCACCACCAGCTAATGCTGCAGCTCCACAAAACACCTGTGATGATACAGGGTCTCACCTGAGGAGGAGGCAAGTGGTGCAGGATATCCACTGAGCAAGCTGGAGTAGTTCCCACCTGTAGTGTCAACGTCTAGCACAGCAGACTGGTCATGAGCAATGTCAGGCAATGGAGGCATGGGCAGAAGAGGTGGCCTGGAGGTATACATAAAGTGTATGAGCATGGACCAAAGGACAAGACAAGATATTACAATAATGTAATCTCTTCTAACTGTTCTACAATGGGCAAATCCTAGAGCCAGAGCCATTTAAACAGTTTTATTCAAAAACAGTGCTCCAGGTTAATCAAAAGTGCTTTTAAGAGGGTCCACTATGACTTGCCCATAAATCCAACATGCTACGGAGGTCTAACTGAATGGTCAGTTCTCCATAGGTTAAAAGTGAAGGGGAAATGGCAAGGGAAAATACTTAGCTCATTAGGTATCTTTTGTGGAGAAATGAGAAAACAGAGTTAAGTCCCTCACCCATAACCATCTGACCCAAGGGGGACTTACGGTGCTGAGGATGTTGGATGCTTTTTGTCGCTTTTCACACTCAACTTCTCTGATTTCCGCCACTTTGCCCTGCGATTCTGAAACCAGACCTGATAAATGCAAGAAAGGATGCATTCAAAGAGGAAACCATCTACACATGGGGACACAGGCAAGGAGGCAACAATGACTACCTCCACACATAACCAGATAAGAAACCTTTCTTCCTGCAAGAACCTGCAAGATTTATTGCAAATAAAAGAGAAGAAGAACAGTAGAACAATACCTCCTGAACACCAGTTTCCTTTGTTGCCCATGATCTTCAAGGTAAGAGATTAACTCCAGCCTCTTTTACCTACCATGTGTCTAGTCTTAGGAAATGGGAAGAGATGGAGTACACAACCGCAGGCTCCACTGCCATTCTGAATGGGGCGGTTGGTTGTGCAGTGTCCATCCTTGTGAGGTCTTTTCCTTCTCTCGTCACCAGTGGCAAGTGCAGTCTCTAGCCTGCTACTCATGAGCTCCTCTTTCCTTCCTATTCAAGTTCTTCCTCTGTACCCCAGTCCCTCTCCCATCAATTTTCTGCACAGAACGCACACACTGTCAGCACTGTTACCCATGCAGGCGTTACCATGATACGCTGTGGCGTTACACCAACCACAGCTGCAATCTCCTTCCTCTTCTCATTGTCGGGGTAGTGGTCTTCGTGGAACATCTTCTCCAACTCTTCTAACTGCTCTAGATATGGTACATTGTTCAGAGAGAGAGAGAAACCGGGAGTACGTGATAAGAAAACAAACAAAGAAACAAGACAGGAAAAGCCAAAACAGAACATTTTTTACTATACCTAAAAATACTTCAACAACATAAGAGATTTTTTAGTTTGTTTGGTTTGGGCTTTTTTTTCAAGTAAACCACAAAAGTAAAAATCTTCTACACTAAAACAAAGAGCATTGCTAGTGATGCTTCAAGCATCAGGTACTCAGAAACCTTTATTTGAAGAAGCCTTCACACATCTAAATGTAGAATGCATTGCAATGCCATTTAGAGCAGTTCAGCACCCCCATACTGTGCCTTAAGTATGGTGAAGGAAACATCAGTGCCATTGACACTACAAGTGTCACTGCCAGTGGGTTCCCCAGTATCTACCTGCGTTATAGAAGGTGCGTAACTTCTTCCTGACTGGTGGCAGAATTATTGGATTCTCAAATAATTTCTTCTTTCCCTTGGTCCCATCATGGCTACTTCCACATTCCAGGACTGAAGACATGTTGTAGGATTGCTGAGCTGCAACGCTGCCTGAAGTACATTTGGATGATCGGTGAGTAGCTGGGCCACACACATCCTGTCTGCAGAGGTCTCCAGGTATTCCACCAGGTACTTTATTGGAGTACATCCCACTTCTGTTTTTACTTTTCTTCTTCTTTGCCTCCTTTTCAATCCCATCAGAGCAATAGCTCTGACACTGCTCACGGGACCCTGACTGTGATGTGGGCTCCTGTGCAGATTCAACCACAGAAAGTGGAGGCACAGCCTTTGTGTCACTGAGGAAATTTGACAACCTCCCACATACAGAGGCAAGGTCAAGCTGGCCATCAAAGGCTGCTGAGTCTTGGGAAGCTGACCCAGTTGCCTGCAGGGTGCAGTATCTTCCATCTTTCTCCACCTCCTTTATAAGGCTGATTCTATCTTCTGTTCCCAAGTTATCCTCAACTTCCTTTATAGCCGTGCTTTGGGACATAGATAGCATACTGCTCCCTGTACCATGCCCACCAGCAGCATCAGCATGTACCACAAAGTGCTCAGTGTTCAATGATGCATCCTCCTTCTTGTCCTTGCACTCTACAGGGGAAAAATTAAAAACAACACCCCACAACCCCCCCCATGCATATTGTCTAAGCCAGATGTGCTGTGCCTGGATGGCATGAAAAAAAAGAGTGTGTTGGGTTAGGAGGTGCCAGTTATAGGAAAAGGAAAACACTACACAATTAAACCCAACAGTGAAAAGAACTAGAGTTCAGGATAAAGACTGTCACCATACAAGTGCTGCTAGGAAAGCAACAGCAAAGAACGGGATCTGGTCAACATGGAGCTATCAAACATCTGGGACAAGAAAAGCCTCATTTTGAGAATGAATATGCCTGCAAAATCAACCAACTCTAAACTAGAGGAAGAATTAATTCCAGGCTCAGAGAATAAAGGAAAGGTTGTGTATTATAACGACAGAAGTGGGAAAACAACACTGGGGGTAACAAAGGTCTTTGGAATAAGGAACAGAAAATGATTCAATGACTTACCAGGACACTAAGTGTCATCTTATTAAAATGAGCAAAAAAAAAAATACAAGCAAAATTATGGTCTACTGTATGAGCAGTGATTATTTGACAAATTACATCACTCTTTGATTTATAGAGGTTTTTGTTTCTATCATGCTCAAGTTGACCAAGCAAAACACCCCAAAACTGTAGAAACTTCAAATAACTACCTTAAATTAGTTTTCTGCAGCTTCAGGCATAACTTATGACAGACAAATCTATAAGGTTGGCTGAGGACAAAAGTAGGTGAAAAAGTCTGACCGAGGTTAACGAAAAGCACAAACTCCATTAAAATAAGAGAGCCTGGACAGTATAAGACAGGTCAGAAAGAGCATTGCAAGAGAAATAATTAAAATAGGTAAGAGAATAATGAAGAAGCATTGTACTTTCCCAGCTGGGATGTACGTTTCCAAAAGAAAACCTGCTGATTAGATTAGAATGTGTGAGTCTGTGATTTCTGCACTTAAAAATAAATTAAAAAAAAGACAAGTTACTATTGTTTAAGAATAGAAAGTAGACTAATAAAACCAAAACCATATATCTATCTCTGGAAAGAGGAAAGTTTGAACAGGCTGGTGGCAGCACTTGAGTTGTATGTGCCTACAGAGAAATGTGGTTATTTGGGAAGTATCTTAAATAATTTCATTTCACTCTGTCCTGCTTTTGATATATATATATGCCAAAATAAAGAACTTGCTTTCTGCTTCAGTGTTTCTTTCTTAAATAATTGTTTATCAAGACGGAACCCCACACCACCAGTCAGATGGGACAATCTTTATGGAAGTACAAGGGGACGTCAGGCTGCTTCCAAGACCTTCTAATTTGCTTTTTATAGGATTAAGAGAACTGAATTAGTTGCAGGGGAAAGAGACAGAAGCAGGAAACTATGCAACTGTAATAATTTGATCATGCTAAGTAGCAACAGTTTCCACTGCTATTAAATGAGATTAAATATCCTGATGGGGAAGGTCAAGAACTGAGAGAGGCAGAAGCTGGCTATGCTCTATATAATTCATTTTTCTACCATCCTCCTCACTCCTTCTGAGCTCATCTCACTTGTTATGTGAAAAGGGGAAAATTTTCACCCGTCATCCATTCAGCTCAGCCGGTCTCAAATCAGGAACAGCATTTTCAGATTAGTGCTTTGATTTGAGAAGGCTTTTTACTTCTTTTTATGCAAACACCGGTGTGCGCTTACATCACAAAATACATTTCAAAGTCTTGTGTATATACTTTGTATCTGCAGCAGAGAAAGAGATTAACACCTGGGAGTTTTGTGTCAGCTACAGGAATATTCCTCCCAGTGAAAGTAAATTGCTGTCTCTAACGCATACAGCAAAGGCTTGACAACGTCTTGGGATTGCCAAAGAAAAATACTGAGATGAAAATAAAGTCTGAAGATAGGCCTGCATGGTAACAAATAGGGCGTTAACCAAACCATTCCTTTCCTCATCACTCAAATGATGAGAGACCAGACCAAACATCCTACTTTGTTCTATTTTTTGATAAATACAGCCTTACATAGAAGGGATTTTAACTGACTGGGAACATCATAGTGTCTGGAATGCCTGAGCTGCTGAAGGTGCACGGACAGGAAGCAAAATCCTCTTCTCACTGCCACCTCTTTAGATGTTTCTTGGAGCAAGAAAACCACGTGGCACAGCAACAGCAAGATTTTAAAGTTTTTTCTGGAGCATAAAAGCAACCTGAACACACACACACAAGCAGAAACATCAGCTTCACAGGTCCACTCACACAAGCTCGGACAAGAGGGAGGAAAACTGGACAGTGGTAAAGGTGGTTAGTGCCGGGAGCCTAGAAGCCCAGAGGCAGTATGAACCCCTGCGTGGTGCAAAGGGATATGAAGGGATGATCACCCAACCCTCACACCGGCTCCCCAGGCGCTTTTACAAGCCCTGAGACACCAGGACCACGCAGCTATTGCCTCAATCCACACCTCAAGGCACCGCGGGCTAAACTGCGCCTTCCCGCCAAGACACCACGGGCAGCCTGCCTGAGGCGATGAGGCGAAGCAGCGGCTCATGGCTGCCAACCGCCGCATAGATAACAGCCTGGACGAGGCGACAGTCATTATCCTTCACCGGGGCTGCTCATTATGCTCATTGCCTGGTGCCTCCCCCAGGGCGTTAATGAGACTCGGCCCCCGGCCCCATGGCTCAGCTCTTACCCGACCCTTCGAGCGCCCATTCCTCGTCCGCACCCGCCCCGTCCATGCCGGCTCGGCGGAAGCACCGCCGACCTACCCCAGTTAATGTCTCGCCCAGCAGCGACCAATGCGCGGGCTGCGGCTGCCGGCCCTGGCAGGCTCATCAAGGCCACCTGGGCCGCCAGCTACCCAAGAGGCGAGAGCGGGACCAGGGCTACCTGGGAGCCTACCTGCGGCCGGGAGGAGCCATCCCCTGCGGGCCGCCGTGCGGGATGGCGCCTGCTCGCCCTCATTCGCAGCGCGGCTGAGGGGGGCCGGAGCCGGTCAGCGAGGAGGGAGGAACCTGGTCCTCGCATATAGAGTACAGAAGGGCCTCTGGCACGTCTGAGGGCACCTGAAACACCATGAGGTCCCGTAATGAGAGGGCTTAAATGTCTCTAATAACACACCTTAGAAACCCAGATGCTACAGAATTGGATCGTTTAATATGAATGAGATGAACCTTGTTATCTTTTCTTGTGGGCTGTCAGGAAGGCAGATTCATTATTTCTTTTATGTGCTCTGGCCACAGTTGTTTAGCGGTGCTTCACACTCTCCATGAAGCAGTGGCTGCAAGAAGTGAGTGGTGCTTCTTGACTTTTAGGTCCTGTATTCTGCGTCCTTTCAGTGCTTAACACTTCTTAGAGAAAACAAGGTTCCTAACAGGGGCACCAGCCAGTTGGTGATCTCACACTACTGCAAGTGTTGTCATCTGCCCAGGTAACCAGCTCTGTGCGCTCAGCTGTCTACACGAGATGAAGGGCAGGTGTGAACCAAGCCTGGTGACTTCCTTCTCACACTCAGTGGGTGGAGAGACCCGTGCTGTAGCTTGGGTAACAATGATTTCAGAAGCCAGACTCTCTGCTCTTGCATTCTCTGTGTACAGCTTTCCTAACTACCAAGTGAAGTGCAGCTGGCTGTGAATACAAGTTGTGTGTCTGCAAACAGCAAAGACAGTGCTTGCTGGAAGAATGTGATTTGCTTAATTGTCTTCTGCTGCACTAGGACAAAACATCCTTCATCCCTGTGTTGTTGGTGGCTCAGTATCTCATTGCTGGCATGGCACCATTCTACATGTGTCCTGTCTTTGTTTCAAGGTTCACTCCAGCATCAAAGGTACTGCTTCTACAAATGCTTTCACCGGAGAGTAGTTTCACTATGTTAAATGAGTGTAACCTGAAACACATGTGCCAGCATTTTGGAGGCAGTATAATGAAGATTATCAGTGCACCTGGCACAGCTGCCAAATGCAATGGGATGTTATTGTGGCTAAACTGGCATTTAACTTGTTAGCAGCATTCATCTGACAAAATACAACTCGGATCTTAGAGGGGATGGGACCTCTTCAATATTAGATAAAAGCGCAAAGATAAAAATCACTAACTGCTTTAGAGGTTCCCGTTTCTGAGTAATGTTGTGTTTATTTACTGAACTCTAGTCTTAATGTTAGTTTTTTTCTAGCTTTGTGAAAGAGAATAAGAACTCTGGAGAATACTTTATTTTCCTTTAGGAGGGACCAACAGAGGTCTCCAGGGCTGTGAGTTTGTGGTTGGTTTTTTTAGAGCCATGTATATATTTATGAATGTCATTTGATTTTCAGACATAGACCATTAATTTTTCAGACTCTCAACAAAACTTCTTAAATGTAGTTCATGCTGTATTTCATCTTTGTTCTTACCACAAAAAAGAAATGAGTGTAATTGCCCTCTGAACACTTTCATTTTTTTCTATAGAAATACTGAATTCCTTCTGTTCAGATACACTATGTAGCAGTCTCCACAGGTTCCTGTGGAAGCTGATGGTTTCTTCATGCTTTAATTTACAGCCAGCTGTTCAAGATACACTGGTATCTTGATACCAGCTGATCAAGATACACTGGTGTCTCTCAGACAGTGGTCCTATTCTGTGGACCTTCATTGGGGATTTTTCTAAAAATGTAGGGGATTTGGCTGACAAACTCTATGCTTGTATTTCTGCTTTAATAGTGATTTTCTGGGAAGTCAGGTTATCCACATTAGATAATGCACAGCAAGATCCTGACTCATAATTAAAACCTTAATAGGATGCGGTGGGTATTCTGTCAACTTGATTTTTGTCTCCTGACTGTGCAGTTGTAAGCGATACTGTACTATTAAGTCTGTACAAACCAAGGAGATGTTAATCAGTTCCAAAAAGCATGAAGCAATTCAGGAGATTTGTTTATGGATTTTGGTGGTGGAATGGTGCTGGTATAAAAACTAGTGAAAAATTGAGGCCTATCTGAAATGTAAGAAGTTAAAGTAAACAGGGCATAAGCACTCAGAAGCATAAGCTTCTTTAAATGTTCCTAAGCATACAAAAACCTGACAATGGGAAATAAAGGCTGTAACTGTGACAGGAAGAAGTCAACCTTTGAGCTGACTAGTTATACAGTATAGAAGTGCTGTCAATCGTAACAGTGGCCTTGAAGTTTTTCATCTGTCTCATTATTAACAATTAACAAGACAATTAACAAGAAACATATGGAACTTAACATAGAAACCACCTTGCGAATCTTTAATGAACAATATGCCAGCTAGCTTTTGAGAGCAGAAGCTGAAAGAGTAAAGAATTCCTGACTTTCAAGTATCTTAACAAGATGACTTCTGAGTGAAAATAGCAGTATGTATGGCCTGCCTCCTCATGATACACATAGCAAAGATGAAGCTGATATGGATATGGGATGTCTCAGACTGGCACTGGGCACCACCGAAAAGAGTCTGGCACCATCCTCCTGACACTCACCTTTGAGATACTGATATGCATTAATGAGATATCCTCTCAGTTTTCTCTAGATTAAACAAGCCTAACTGCCACAATCCCTCATTAGAGAGATGCTCCAGACCCCTGACCATCCTTGGGGCTACTGGACCCTCTCCAGTAGCTCCTTGTACTGAGGAGCCCAGGGCTGGACACAGTACTTCATATGTGGCCTCATTAGGGTTGAATAGAGGGGGAGGATCACCTCGACCTGCTGGCCACACTCCTCCCAATGCACCCCAGGATACTCTTGGCCCTCCTGACCACAAGGGCACACTGCCAGTTCATAGTTATCACTTTTTTCATTTGAGGTAGGCCTAACTTTTGTTCTTAGGTAGGAACCAGCTTCAGTTGGTCTAGGGGGAAAACAGTGTAGGCAGATTGTAGCCTGGACCATAGATTTAAAAGACAATCTCATTATTGCATCCTGTCTTACTGGTATAGTGGACTGAACTTCCATCTTCTGTAGGTCATCCTTGATATATTAATGATAACTAACACCACTAGGGAACCTGTAGCAGCAGCCACTTCAGGGCTGGTGTTAATGCCCTAAAGCTTAAGCTATGGATGGTTAAAGCAAGCTTTCTTCACTGCCTCTACTAAGTATAGCTATTTGTACTTAATATTCACTTATAGAGGAAATTTATATAGAAAAAATAATGAACATACTGAACATATATTCAGTAAATATTGAATTACTTACATTTGAGAAGAAAACCTAAGTAACAAGTTTATTTTAACTGGAGAAGTGCATGAGTTTATTAGGACTGAAAGCAACAGGTTTTTTAATCCAGCTAAAATAATTGATATAAATAGGCTGTAATAAGCTATACTAGATACACCATAAATGGAAATTAAAGGCAGAATGTTACAGAGAAAGAAAGCTGCAGATGTGAAGACAACGAATTCTTCAAATATATTAAATGCAAGAAGGCTACACATTGCTTTCTTTGGTGTATTGATTCTTCTACTTGATCTTGCATTGACTGAATGCAAACACTTTAACAAAGAAACAGTATTTTACAGTTGAAGGCATATCCTCAAATAGACAGGTTCTGCACAAAAGCAGGACTGCATGTAAACTGGACTTAAAACCAGAGAGTTCTAAAAAAGAACAAAGTCCCTGGTACATATTTTGACTTTATCTACAGTGGCTAAATATCTCAGTGTTTTCTATAAGTGTGCAAAATGGTGCATGCAATACCACGTCAGCTATCAGATTAAGAGCAGCAGGAAAGTGCCACTTCATTGCATATACCTAGTCATGGTTATTTTGTACAGGGCATGTACCAACACATAGAAAAATCTTCGTCAAAAGTCACTGTTACACTTTAGTGGGACGCGGAGTAAAACAGAATCACTTCAGATGGCTTATTGGGACACTTGTTCAGAAGAGAGGTGACCTTTGTGAAACAGATTCTTCAGCTCGATACCTCTTACGGTGGGGGAAGTCATCACAGTGGCTTCCAATAACTTTGCTTAAGTCCAGTGGATTTCCTAGTGCTGTCAAGGACTCTTCACCAGTATGCCGAGACAGAGTTAATTTTAGGTAAGATGAAATGTTTGCCTATCTAAAAAACAGTAGACTTGCACGATCAAATAGATAAATTGTTCTAAGTGGCAATTACACTATGGAGATCAATACCATCAAGATATCAGGAGGATTTTCAAATGAAAAACTCTCAACTCTGTTGTGCTTTGCACTTAGCACCTTCCTTCTCAGGAACTCAAAGCTCTTAGTATGCTAATACTAGCGAATTTAGCCTCACAACATCCAGTGAGGTAGGTAAGTTTACCCCCATTTCACAGATGGGAAGAATGACGCAGAATTCTGAAGTGACTTGCCCAAGGTCCTGCAACTTGTCAGTGTCAAAACCAGGAACATATTTTCAGAGGTCCAGATCCCAGATCTCTGTCCAATTGAAGTCCCTCCCTGCTACCACAAAGCAAGCAACACATGCAACTTTTTTTCCTCCTACTGCTGCCGTAGTCCTGGTGACACAGAGGAAGTGAATGATTTCTCCTGATTGAATTCCCACTTTCTTTGGCAAAAAACACCTGATTCTGTCAAAGTGCTGTATTATGCTCTTTGCAGAGGCGTTTCTTCTGAGGCACAATAGAAAAAAGATGGTTTCCCCGTGGCAGGGAGACTGTACATGTCCAAAGAGTCTTATTTCTTGCAGAAGACCTGCTGCTTGGCATTCTTCACACGTTGTTCCTCCTTCAGGTTCTTCTGTCGTGCATGTTTGCTGGAGATGAGTTCCACATGTTCCGAGGGGAACCAGCCTCTCTCCCGGTCTGACAGCTTTACTCCTTCCATCCATCCTACAGTGAGGGGAAAAGCAGAACATGAGGCAAGAGTTAAACATTTTTTTCATTCTTCCCAAAAAGCCCCCTCCAACAAGACCCTAACATCAAAGAAAGAGACCCCTTCCACCTTCCAAATAAAGTGCCTTAATGAAAATGAAGACTCTCTTCTTCTTCTGAACCTAACAGTCAGGAAGGAGAGGCTTCTTCTGAAACCTGATTGTGTTGTTAAAGTACACTACTACAGTAACTTCCAACCCATAATTTAAGATACCCATTGTTTATTCTGCTCACCATCATTGCTGTACTGCATAACCATGATGATATCTGCTTTCTCCAAAGCCAGCTCATCATTTTCCCGAGCCTTGTAAGTCTT